GAAATAAAATATATGCCACATGAAGCCCATGGTTTCATAAATATTACTATTAATGTCAGGTTAAGTTGAAAAAGGGGGAAAGACAAAAAGAAAGATAATTATTATATTTTATTTTATTAAATAATTATATTTTATTTTATTAAATAAAATAAAAATACAAATGGTACCAGAGTATTTGTTCCTGGTCTGTCTCTCTTAAAGGCAGCTCCATACGGCAGGGAATTTTGTCTGTTATTTTTTCATCTCCATTTTTGCCCCTGGTGCTTAAAACAGTGCTTGACACATAATAGTTGCTCAATAAATATTAGTTGAATGAATGAATAGTAAAAGTTAAGAAAATCACACTCAGACATCTGAATTTGGGAAAATGATTAATTAACATACATAAAACTCTCAGCAGTGCCCAACACATAGGAAGTGCTCAAAAAATCTTCATGAATATGCTTATGATTATTATTTAAAGATACAACACATAGGCATTCTGGCCAAATGCTTATGTGCCCATAGCTTAAGATCATCATCTTAGAATGAACTTCTGAGATATAAAAAAAATCTGAAAATGTATTTAAAGTATATTACTGTCATAATTTTATTACTCACAAAGGTCAAGGGCAACTCTTCTGAGTTGACACTTCAGATAATTTCTCCACTTTGTCAGCAGCCAGTGTTCAATTACGGTCAATAAATGCCTATGGCAGTTCTAAAACATAGCCCTAAATTTTCTGATTAGCCTCCCATCATGAGGTGGGGGTCTGTCTCTGTCTCCCCTCCTTGAATCTGAGCAAGTTTGTGATTAGTTCAACCAACAGAGTAGAAAAGTAGTGAGGCTGGGCTGTGAAAGGCAGCATTTGCTAGTATGTTTACTATGGAGCCCTGAGCTACGTGAGCAGTCCGCATGTCCTGAGGCAGCCATGCTGGGCGAAGGCCAAGCTGCTTGGACAGACCAATGCTTTGATGGTTCCAGCTGAGCCCCGCCGCTGAGCCATTCCAGCCCAGGCACCAGACCTGTGAGTAAAGCAGCCTTTTCAGCAAGTCAGTCCACCCCTTAGGACAGTGGTCCCCAAACTTTTTGGCCCGGGGACTAGGATCAGGGGGAAGCAGTTTGGGGATAATCCAAGCACATTACGCTGACTGTGCGCTTTATTTCTATTGTTATTACATTGTGATATATAATGAAATAATTACACAGCTCACCATAATGCAGAATCAGTGGGAGCCCTGAGCTTGTTTTCCTGCAACTAGACGGTCCCATCTGAGGGCGGTGGGAGACAGCGACACCCAAGTGTGTCGCTTAAGCCCAGTCTCCACCAGGATCGTTTGCTTGCTGTCACTGCAGAAAGCCCTGCTTCACAAACACAGGATGCTGGAAACAGAAGCAGGCTTTTCAGTATTCTGTGGCGATCCCGAGACACTCTGCTTTGACTTTAATCCAGAATGTATGGATATTTGAAGTCTTCAAAATACTTTTAAGGCCACTTTCACTTCCAATCTCAAGTGGTAACGCAAGCTATGGGGAGCGGTTGTCAATACAGGTGACGCTTCACTCTCTTACCCACTGCTCACCTCCTGCTGTGCAGTCCAGTTCCTAACAGGCCATGGCCCGGAACTGGCGCGTGGCCCAGGGGGTGGGGACCCCCGCTTTAGGACTTCTAGCTGAAGACCTGGACATCATGAAGCAGAGTTGCCCCTGCTGTTACCCCTCTGACTTTCTGAACCACAGAATCTGCATAATGAAATGGCTGTTATTTTACACCACAAAGTTTGGGATGCTTTGTTATGCAGCCTAGAACTGGGACAGCTGCTCACTAAGTAACTGTAGGATTTAAATAGTATTACTTTTTCTGCAGAAACTAAAATCCATTCTCTCCTTACAGCCCTATTTGAACATTCAACAATAATTACTTCTGAATACAGAACTCATGGCCATGATAATCATTGTTAATTATGGTGGCAGTTTACTTGCAGAAAAACTATGGTAGAAAAAAAATAACTGTATATTTCTCCTTCGATTTGACTGGGAGAATGCCAACTTATAAACCACATATGGAGCTTTCCATTCCAAGTTACATCCAGAAGGCTTTCTATATTTGAAAGTGAATACTCAGATATAAACACTCACCATGAGTGCAAAGCCTTGCTCGTATCCCTGAGGTGGTTACATAAATTGGGCCAAAGATAAGATGGGCCAAATATTTCTGGCTTGAGATACACAGCAATGACATGGAAGAAAGAGTTTTGATATTTGATCTTTCTGAAGACCAAGATCCTGGCAGAGCTTCAAAGCAACCCTGTGATTGTTATTAATATTTTTCTAATATCTGCGTGACTCCTTGAGTGGGTGGCAAGGTTTAGTGAGAGCAGAAGGAGAAACTGAGGCTTACCTACCGCTGGCCAACAAAGACTGCTGATTGGCTGTTGAGTAACTCAATCTCCCCAACCTCTTCTCCCCTCCAAAAGAAATGAAGCAGGCAAAACCCAGAATGACCTCCTGGTTAACAACTTCCTAGAGGATGATCTATAGGTTTTTAATGTCCAGATTTCCAACCAGATCCCCTAGAATCAGACTACATCCCCTCAGGCCGCCCAGGGTGGGAGTCCTACCCTGGGACTTCAGTCCCACCCAGAGCAAGATCATGTCTTCTCAGACTGGCCCCCTCCCAGCCAGAGTAAGCTGTGTCCCCTTGAACCCCCCAGGACACAGTCATATCTGCTCAGAATCTCCAAGGTAGACCATGTTCTCTCAGAGCTCCCAAACTTCACAAAACACATGTACAGTACATTTTTCAACTGACAATGATAAAGGAAAATTTATAGTCCCGTCCCTGTAATTCAAAACATTTTAAACAAGCAATGTGCGAATCAAGTCTTGAATTATATCTCCAATATGGTGGGTAGAACAGCAAGCACAGCCGCACACAGATGTTCGGAAAACTGTGTGGAGATGTGGGGTCAGGGCATTCCTGATGGACAAAGCCATGGTGGGGATCACCAGATCCTAAGGGTCTGATCCAGGGAGAAATGCTTGGAGCATTTTCCAAGTAAATAGTCTGTACTCATTGGAAAAGACCCTGATGCTGGGAAAGACTGAGGGCAGAAGAAGAGGGTGAGAGGATGAGATGGTTGGGCGGCATCACCGACTCAACGGACAGGAGTTTGAGCAAATTGTGGGAGATGGTAAAGAACAGGGAAGCCTGGCATGCTGCAGTCAATGGGGTCGCACTGAACGACTGAACAATAATGTTATCTGAAAGGACTTTTCTGTGTCTATTTGTGTTTTAGGAAATTGCTTGGGGACTTGTGGTTGATGGGCAACACATTTAATTTTTATCATGGGAAAATCATGGGAAACAGGCATCTGGTGGGTGTTTTCCTGCAGAGCATCTGATGTCCAGCAGCACATGGTCAAGCCTAACCAGGAAGCCCCATAGTTTAGGAGCAGTGGTGCCCCCTGGTGACCATCTGGGTGCCCCCCACCAAGATCTGTCAATACTTCTGTGCAACCTTTTTGGTACCAGAGACCAGTTTCATGGAAAATAATTCTTTTCATACCTAGGATGGGGAAGCTGGTTTTGGGATGACTCCAGCACATTATATTTATTGTGTACTTTAAGGAAATGGCAACCCACTCCAGTACTCTTGCTTGGAAAATCCCATGGATGGAGGAACCTGGTAGGCTACAGTCCACAGGGTCTCAAAGAGTCAGACACAACTGAGCGACTTCACTTCACTTATTACTATTATTATTACATTGTGATATAATCATAATGCAGAATCAGTGGGAGCCCAGGGCTTGTTTTTCTGAACTCAGGCAGTGACGCGAGCAATGGGGAGCAGCTATAAACAGATGAAGCTTCACCTGCCCACTGCTCGCCTCCTGCTGCAAGGCCTGTTCCTAACAGGCCACGAACTGGTAATGGTCTGTGGCCCGGGGCTTGGGGACTCCTGCTCTAGGGAACAAAGTGGGTCCAAGGGGAAGCTGAAAACAATGTCCAGCCCAGATGAAGAGATGAGGGGGATGTCTCAGGCTGTGTTCACCGGGCATGGCACACCTGCCTTCTATCCACAGGGTCGTTTCCCATGGAGATCCACAGTAGATGTCTTTTTTTCTAACTGGGTATCTACAACCACTTTTTTCCCCCCAGAAACAGCACCCCATTCTCCTCTGGAGAAGCCCTCACACTCAGGTCATGTAGTTCTTGAGGGTCAAACCTCCTCCCCACCCCAATGTATAGGTGCCCAGTGATCTGATGAGGGATGAGCATATGGGCCAAATCTGTCCAGGGAGAGCCAGGCCTGGGACTTTTTTGCTACAGCTGATGAGAAAGAAGCATTCTTTCTCTACTGAGGCCGCTAAGTGGTCCACGGCATATAAGCTTGGAGTTTCGGTGGGTTGGGGGGGGGGAACATCTCTGTCTCTAGTTGTAGAGGAGGCTGCTTGAAAATGAAGCAGACACAGAGAAAAGCAGATGTGAGAGAGGAAGTGAGGCACAGTCCTGAAAAATGTTTGAGCAGCTGGATGGAGACGAGAAGCCAGAGGCTCCAGTGCATTTTCAGTTAAGTGAGCCAATGAAGATCTTTTCTGTTAAGCCAGTGGGAACTGGAGGATTATGCTCCCTGCCTTGATCCATGCCAGGCCCTAATTGCTCTCTTCCATGAGCCCAAAATGTCCTCTTTTGCTGCTTACAGTTGCACACTAAGAGACCACATTAATCAAAACCATCTTTATTATTTAAAGAGCATCCTGTCATCAGGAGCACAAGATGGGGGGGGTCCCAGATGGCAGAACAATATTTACATGGGGGGCAGGAGGGTGGTCCCAGGGCTGAGTGGGCCCGCCACTGTGGAGGACCTTGGAGGGAAGAGTATCCTTGGACCTGTGGGCTGGGCCCAAGAAGAAAAATGTTCCATCCCTGGCCCAGGGTGAACCCCATCACGTGGGGCTGGGGCCCCTTAGATCAGCTCGGGCCCTGGAGGCGTGCACAGCGAGGAGAAGCCACAGGTCAGAGCTGGGTTACCATGCCGCTGGCTTCGGAGTGAGTCTGGGGAAAGACAACTAGGGGCTTCCCCCAACGTCCCACAAGTGCCCACCCCTCCCCAGGAGCCCCATGAAAGCCATCCGTTCCCTAGGGTGACCTTTCTAAGCCCTATAGGTTTCCAGAAAACCCTGCCTCCCTTTCCCGCTCAGAGTCCCAAACCCTCCCGCCCTCTGGCTCCCATCTGGGCTCAAATTTCACCTTTATGGCCTGGAAGATCCACTCCCGGAAGTCACTGACTTTGGTGTAGACGCCTGGCTTCTGGGCCAGGGCACAGCCGGTGCCCCAGCTCACGATGCCACACAGCCGCCAGCGTGGCGTCCGAGAGATGCTATCCTCACACACGAAGGGGCCACCACTGTCACCCTAGTGGGGGACAGAAGGCCTGGCTGGAGGCCGAGACAGCTGGCCAGGAGGCCCTTTTTGGAGGGCCGGGGGCTGTAGTCATAGAGCCCTCTGGCCCTGAGATAGGGAGCCCGACCACCCAGGGCCCTGTGTCTCTATCCCTGGGGAGGCCGGGGCCCCGGCTGCCCCACAGCATCCCTCACCTGGCAGGCATCAATGCCACCCTCAGGGTAGCCGGCACAGAACATCTTGGGCTTGATCTGGTTCCCGTAGTAGTCGGGGCCGTTGCAGACATCATTGCTGATTATGGGGACTCGGGCCTCCTGGAGCACCCCAGCCTGTTGGCCTGGGGGTGTGTGGGCAAGGCTGGCCGAAGCTGGGGAGCATGCACACCCCCTCCCCTCCCCTCCCAGTGCCCACCTGGGCTGCTCAGTATCCCTACACCCTCGGGGCCAAGAGGCACTGGCATAGCCCAAATGCCCTTCCCCAGCCCGGCTCAGAGTCTCCCTAAGGCAGCTTCCCAGCAGGGGACAAGACTCACCGTAGTACTGTGTGTTGCCCCAGCCAGTCACGGTGCAGATCTTGCCATCCACCAGGGCCTGCCCAGCAGCCGGGAGACACACGGGCTGGATGTACTCTGTGCAAGAGACCACACCGGTCTGGGCCCCTGCCAGTCTGCCCCGCCCAGGACAAACCCCGCTCCAGCTGCCCCAGCCCACCCTTCCCTCTGTTCTTTCACAACCACTACAACAGAAGTTGCCTCCTAAAAACAACAAGGTCCCACTATATAGTGCTGGGAATTACATTCAATATCCTGTGATAAACCATAATGGACAAGAATGTGAGAAAGATATATATATGTGTGTGTGTGTGTGTGTGTGTGTGTGTAACTGAGTCACTTTACTGTATAGAGGAAATTAACACATCATTGTAAATCACTATACTTCAATACAGGGCTTCCCCAGTGGCTCAGCGGTAGAGAATCCACCTGCAATGCAGGAGACATGGGTTTGATCCCTAGGCTGGGAAGATCCCCTGGAGGAGGGCATGGCAACCCATTCCAGTATTCTTGTCTGGAAAACTCCATGGACAGAGGAGCCTGGCAGCTACAGTTCATGGGGTCGCAAAGAGTTGAACACGACTGAAGAGACTTAGCATAGCATAGCATCCTTCAATACATTTTTAAAAATAAAAGAAGCTGCCTTCTATTGAGGACTCATTATGTACTCACGCCTTTCTGGGTGAATTCCCTTAATATCCCATCAGGTCAGAGAGGTAGGGGCTATTACCCCCACTTAAAGAGGGGTATATAAAGCCATGTCACTTGTCCAAACCCTTAGATTGAGTCAATGACAGAGACAAATATGAACCCAGGTTGGCCCAATTTCTAAGCCTGTGTTGTTAACCATGGCCCATGGGGCTGCCCCCTACCCAGAGAGTGACTTTGAGAAATTTTAATTTATTTTTTCATTTTTTTGGCCACTGTGGCATGTGGGATCTTAGTTCCCAGAACAGGGATCGAATCTGTGCCCCCTGCATTGAAAGCGCCTCCCATTTAACTACTGGACCACCAGGGAAGTCCCTTCTGTAAAAAATTTTACAAGGCACTATCCTGAGATACTGGACTTCCACCTGTCAAAAAATCATCATAATAAACACACCAGTCTATCCTGTCCACAGTAAGAATGGCATCCCTGAGATATGACGTCCTTGTGCAGTGCACAACCCATGCAAGTGGTCCTGGCAGCCCAGCTAGCAAGCCTTGCTGGTGACTTCACCTGCCTGAGCTCAGAGCTCTCAGGTGCAAAATGGAAAGAATAATCATCCCCCCCACCTCCAGAGGTGTATCATGAGAAATTGGTGAAGTGTTGAATAGCGTGCCTGGCTAACGGGAAATGCTCACATAACTAGCAATAGTAATAAACAACAACAGCAATGATTGTTAGTATTAACTGAATGCCGGCATTGATCTAAGCAATTTGACTCAGATTAACCCTTTTCAGCATCTTGATAACCTTTAGGAGTCATTTAACAGATGAGGGAAACTGAGGTTTGGAGAGGTGAAGCCACATACCCAAGACCGCAGAGCTGCTGAGTATCTGACCCCAAAGCCCACACCACTCCCCTCAGCCCCATGTCCAAATGCAGGCCACTCACATGTATTGTTCCCTTAAATGGAGAACTAGTATCATGGACCATTCAAAAGAAAATAACCATTAAAAATAAGGCAGACTTCCCTGGTGACCAGTGGCTAAGACTCTGAGCTCCCAACAGAGGGGCCCGGGGTTCAATCCCTGGTCAAGGAACTAGATCTCACAAGCCACAACTAAAGATTCCCCATGCCACCACTAAGACCCAGCACAGCCAAATAAATAAACAATTATTTTTTAATTATTAAAAAAAAAAGACAACAATGCAAACTACAAAATAGTACTGACTTTCCTGGCAGCTCAGCCAGGGGCTTATAGGCACAGATCCCAGAGCCATGCAACTTGGCCTCAAACCTTTGCCATTTGCCAGTTGTGGGAATGTGGGGTATTATGTACCTTCTTTATGTCGGGAGTTTCACTCTTATGAAAAAAAACAACAACAACACAGGATCATAAGAGAACCCACCCTCCCCAGGCTGCTGTGACAATGAAATGAGTGCATGCTTGCGACATGTTGAGTCCGGTGGCTGCACACAGGAGGCACGTGCAAGTGCTGGAGTTCATCCTATCATCACTATTATTGTATTCTTTCATTATTATTTTTTAAGATGTTTTAAAATCTTATTTATTTATTTAAGGCTGTGCTGAGTCTTTGTTGCTGTGAGGGCTTTTCACTACTTGCTGCAAGCCGTAGCTGGGCTACTCTCTGGTTCTGGTGCATGGGCTTCTCATTGCAGTGATTTCTCTTGTTGTGGAACAGAGGCCTACAGTGATCAGGCTTCAGTAGTTGTGGTACCTGGGCTTAGTTGCTCTGAATCAGGGAATGAACCTATGTCTCCTGCATTGGTAGGCAGATTCTTAACCAACGAACCAACAGGGAAGCCCAAGACTTTTTAATTTTTTTTATATGGGCCATTTTAAAATTCTTTATTGAATTTGCTACAAAACTGCTTCTGTTTTATGTTTGAGTTTTTTTTCTTTGGCATAGAGGGCATGTGGGTCTTAGCTCCCAACCAGGGATCAAACCCACACCCGCTGCATTGGAAGGTGCAGTTCTAACCACTGGACTGCCAGGAAAGTCCCTCTTTCTCATTATTATTATCATCATCATACTGATGCCTGCTGAAGGTTCATCACCATTGCTATGATAACTTCCTTATCATCAACATTATTATTATTACTATTACCACCACTTGGTGGCCTTCTGAAAGCTGAAGCCCACAGCCCACTCTTAATTCAAAAGGCATGTGAAGATGAGGTATGAAAGACATACTGACACCCAGGTGAGTCTTTCTCATTGACAAGGAAATGCTCTGGGGAACTACAAAGGGAATAAATAACTCCTGACTTTCTCATTCATTCATACACTTTTTTTTTCATTTCTTTCTTTTATTTTGGTAATAGCTTTTTTGGAGATATAATTCCTGTACCACACAATTCACCCACTTAAAGTACACAAGTAAATGGGTTTGAGACAGGTTTTAGATTCAGGGACTAGCCTGCCTGGCAATAAGGAAGGTACAACCACCACCACAATTGATTTCAGAACATTTTCATCACCACCTTTACCTCTGACCTCCCAATGTTTCTCTGCCATCCCCATGCCTGGGGAACCACTGATGTACTTCCTATCTCTGCAGGTTTACCTGTTCTGGACATTTCATAGAAATGGAATCATATAGAATGTGGCTGTGTGGGTCTGACTTCCTTCTGAGCATAGTGCTGTTCCAGGGTCATCCATTGTGTACCCTGGATCAGTCAGTACTTCATTCCTTTCTAACCTAGTATGACTCCATTGTACGGGCCTAGCATGTTTTGTTCATCCACATGGTAGATGGTAGAATCTGGGGGGTTTCCATCTTTTGGCTGCTGTAAATAATGCTGCTTATGAACACCCATGCTCTAGTTTTTGTGTAGCAATGTATCTTCATTTCTTTGGGGTACGTGCCTAGGAGTGGAATTGTGGTGCCAAATGGGTAACACTCAGACATGGTTTTCCAAAGTGGCTGCACTAATTGCCCCCACCTAATGAATGCACAGTGAGTGCCCCTGGAGACCATTTCCCTCATCACCATGAATTCTGTGCCCCAGCCCCTCCTCTGTCCCCCTGGCCCCTGGAGTCCCCAGGTCCAGGATCAGACCCAGACGTACCTGTGAGGGGCAGGGTGCCAGAGAGGTGGACCAGGGCGATGTCATTGCTATTCTCCTCGCTGTTGGGGTCTCGAAAGGGGAGATAGCCCCCATGGTAGATGACGGCCTGCACCCCCAGTTGCACACCGTGGGGTGAAGTCTGGGCCACAGCACCAGCAAACACTCGCCATCGTGACAGGACCCGGTTCCGCCTACCGGGGATAGGAGGGGAGGGTGGCCACCTGTCTAGGCACAGCCTCCTCCAGCGCACGGCTCCCCAGCCTCTCCCCTCAGTGCCCTGGGGGACACTCACTCAGGGAAGCAGTGGGCGGCTGTCAGCACCCAGTCCCTGGAGAGCACGGACCCCCCACAGAGATGCGCGCCATCGTAGCGAAGACTGACTTGCCACGGCCACCTGCCCAGGCTGGTGTCCTGGCCGCCCACAATGCGATCGACGGGCAGTTTTCGGTGGCCACAGTCTGTGGGGAGAGGGGCAATCAGGGGCCAGCGGGAGGCCTGGACCCCCTGCCCCGGGGGTCTGAGAGGTCATGCCCCACTCTGGGGAGAGTGAGTGGTCACAATCTTAACCTGAGGGGTCTGAGGAACATGGCTCTGCTGTAGGGGGAAAGGGTCTGTCCGAGGAGACACAGCCCCATCTGTGGGGACCTAGGGGGACATGGCCCTACTTCGGGAGTCTGAGGGGATGGGGACCCCTCACCCTGGGGGAGTCTGGGAGGACACAGCTCCATCCTTGGAGGATCTAAGAGCATAAGGCCTGTCTGGGGGTACCTGATGGGCCATGGCCCTGCCACGGTAGGGGCAGGGAGTCTCAGAAGAGGGCTCTGAGTTTTGGGGCCTCACCTTGGCAGCTGGTAGCCAGGAAACGGCCTCTGGGACAGTCGCTGTGGGAAGGATGGGGATGAAGACACAGAGACAAAAAAGAGGCCAATTAAGACGGAGGGAAGGAACCCTGGGGAGCGTGGGTGCCCAGGGGTGGCGGGGCCTGCGGCGTGCGCCCCACCTGCCCGCCGCCCTCCTCACCACACGGAGAGGACCTCGAGCAACCTCCGGGCATGCGGCAGCCTCCCCTCGTCCACGCAGAAGAAGCCCGACGTGCCATTGGCGCCCGCCGTCCGCACGTCCAGCTCCGAGTAGTCCAACGCCCTGGGCAGGGCAGCGGTCAGACCTGCGCCCCCCGCCCTCCCAGCCCCCCACCAGGGGCGCCCGGGTACCTGAGGAAGCCCATCTCCTCGCAGCTGAGCCCCGCCACCCTGGCGTTGGAGCGCGAGGAGCAAAGCAGGCGCCACGTGCCCTCCGTCTGGTCGAACACCGTGAGCCGAGCATCCGCCGGGCCGACCTGCACTGCAGGGCAACAAGAGGACCGCCGGGGTCGCCTTCCCGCCCGAGCCCCCCTGGCCTCTTCTCTGCCCGTGCCAGTCTAGTCCCGAGTCCTGGCAGGCCCGATTGGAGCACCCTGGTCTCAGCACATTTGTGACTGCCTCTGGAAGGGCTCAGGACTCAAGTTGGACCAAAGATTGGGGGTCCTAAGACTCTGGCTACATCGCCATGGGGAAACCGGGCAAGGTGGGGGATTCCCGGGGGCATTCCCCCTGCCACCAGGATTCCTAAACTGGTTGCCCAAGAGCTGGAAGCTAGATTTTTCAAAGTCCACCTTTGCCTGCAGGAGTGGGAATGTGGGGGCAGTGGTGATAAACCAATGTAGAGGAAAGCCAAGAGATTCTGATAACATTTTTATAGCTCCTTAATGGAATCAGGCTTAAAGAACCTCCAGAATCATTACTTAAGTGAGTTAATAATTTCCCTTTTTGTTTAGCTGTTTCTTGGTTTTCCCTTTTCTCTTTTGCACCCTGAAGATCCTTGACCAATACATCACATTGCCAAAATATCTGAATAGATTTCTTATAATCTTAAAAAAGAAGAGTTATCTTTTTTCTGCAGGACTTGTCAGAGCCTTGAATACATACTAAGTTGCAGGATAATTATTCAAGCAGAGGATGCATTCATTCATTTGAATGAATTCATTCATTCATTTGTTCAATCAACAAGTGTTAACTAGACACATACTCCATGCCCGGTCCTACATGGGGTGATGCTGGGGGACATAAAAATGACCAAGACATCTCTGGGCTGTACCCTCACCAAGTACAAAGTCCATCTGTAGGGGAGACAGACAGCAATAAAAAAAAAAAATCACCCAATCAAACACAGCATCACAAGCTGTGACAAGAGGCAGATACACAGCAAGGCTGCAGAGTGCTTATGGGGGATTCCTCCTCCTGGTTAATGCCCTGAGTGATGCTCCCCTCAGCCCCTCCCAGCCTGCTTCTCACACACGGCCAGAGGACCCTTGCCACAGCCAAGCCAGGTCACAGCCCTCCCTTAGGTGTGCTTTAGCAAGCACTCAGGGTGTGCCAGGCTCTATTTTGGGCGATGAACAAATCAGACAAAACCCCCAGCTGTGGGGAGCTCAAAGGCCAATGGGTGAGATGGATAACAAACAGGAGGGAGAAGTAAAATAGATGCTGTGTCACAAAAGAAGGGGCCTGGGAGACAAGTCAAGCTTGACAGAGAGGCAGGGGAGTGCTGACATGGGGACAGACAGGAGGCTGCACTTTCCTATAGGTGGGCAGGGAAGGCTGCACTGAGAAGGCGGTATGCAAGCAGAGATCTGAAGGAGGTGAGAAGACAGGTGAGGGAACAGAGAACTAGGCCAAGAGAATTGCAAGTGCAAAGATCCCAAGGAGGGGGGCGGGGTTGATGAAGGAACAGCAAGGGGTCTGGGCAGAGTGAGCGAGGGGAGGAGGGGGCGGGAGACAAGACCAGACTGACTTTGACTTTTACCAGGAGTGAGGGCTGAGCCAGGAGGGCCTTGATCTGACTCAGGGGCTCACAGGCACCCTCTGGCTGTGTGTACAGAGCAGACTGTAGGGGGCAGGATGGGACCAAGGGAGACCAAGGAGGCGGCTGTGCGATGGTCCAGGAGGGAGACGATGGAGGCAGGGCCAGGGTGGGGACAGTGGAGGAGCAGAGTTAAGATTCTGCACAGAATTTGTGGGTGGAGCCCACAGGGTCAGCTGTGATTGGATGTGGGTGGAAGGAAAAGAGGGGCCAAGGGCAATTTCAAGGTGTTCAGTCTGAGGCAGTAGAAGGATGAGCTGTCACTGATTGAGATGGGCAAGGTGGGGAGAAGTAGGTTTGGGGAAAGATCAGCTGTGAACCCCTTTTCTCTGGAGCCTCCTGCATGGCTGGTGTTCTAAGAGCACATTCTGGGACAGTGAATCTGGTTCAAACTCAACTTTGCATGCTTGGAGGAAGAACGTGGTGAGGCCACACCCAAGCTGAGCAGTTTTCCCACAGCCCCACAGACCTGGACAAAGGGAGGCAGAACTTCCGGGGAGAACCCTGTCCTGCTGAGGACAGAGAAAGGCAAAGAGAAGATTTGCATTCAGGCCTGAGTGACTCCAAACCCCAAGCTTTTAATGTTGCCTGTGATGGCAGTCATGAAACTAAAATACACCTGCTCTTTGGAAGAAAAAGCTGTAACAAACCTAGACAGCATATTAAAAAGAGAGACATCACTTTGCCGACAAAGATCCATATAGTCAAAGCTATGGTTTTTCCAGGAGCCATGTATGGATGTGAAAGTTGGACCATAAAGAAGGCTGAGTACCAAAGAAATGATGCTTTCAAACTATGGTGCCAGAGAAGACACTTGAGTGTCCCTTGGACATTAAGGAGATGAAACCAATCAATCATAAAGGAAGTCAACCCTGAAAAATCAATCCTGGATATTCATTGGAAGGATTGATTTTAAAGCTCCAATACTTTGGCTGCCTGATTCGAAGAGCTGACTCATTGGAAAAGACACTGATGCTGGGAAGGATTGAGGGCCGGAGGAGAAGGAGACAACAGAGGGTGAGATGGTTGGATGGCATCACTGACTCAATGGACATGAGTTTGAGCAAACCCCAGGAGTTGGTGAAGGACAGGGAAGCCTGGTGTGCTGCAGTCCATGGGGTCGCAAAGAGTCAGACACGACTGAGCAACTGAACAACAGCAAGACAGCCTCTCAGGCAACTTTCCTCCTAAGGGTTAAACAAAAAAGGCACAGTAATAACACTGGTGAAGGAGTGGGTGGGACAAACGGAGAGAGCAGCACTGAAACAAACACATTACTATATATAAAATCAGTAGCCAGTAGGAAGTGGCTGTGTAACACAAAGAGCTCAACCTGGTGCTCTGTGACGACCTAGAGGTGTGGGATGGGGTGGGGAGTGGGAGAGAGGTTCAAGAGGGAGGAGATATATAGCTGATTCATGTTCTTATACAGCAGAAACCAATATAACATCATAAAGCAAGTATCCTCCAATTAAAAATAAATTTAAAAAATAGTAACACTGACTACATTTCCTGGGGATGAGCTGACCCCATGCTGTGTGTCATGTCTGGGGGGTTCTATCCCACAATCAACCTGGGAGGGAGAGACCATCTCTATACCCATCTTACAGATGGGAAAACTGAGCCTTAGAGAGGACATACTTGCTCCTGAGAATATAGCTAAGAACTGGCAAAGTCAGGATTTGAATCCAGACCTGCCTACCTGTATACTCCCTGCTCCTTCTGTGGCTCTCATACGGATGTTATCAGCTCCTTTTCCCCAAATATACTCATGTACAGCCTATATGAGGAGCTTCCTGGTTAACTGGCCTTAATCATGGCTTCCTGTTCTGGGATGGGGCCGGGAATGTCTGATACCTCCACTGGGTGATACCGACCACCCCTTGAGTTCCCAGACCAAGACTTGGGGTTCAAAACACCAGCTGGGGGTGGGAGTGAATTCTTATTTTAAAACGACTTCTCAGTGCTCCAGAGATTGTGATTTCCAGAAAGTGTGAGGTTTTAGGGAAAAAAAAATTATCATTTTATGGATGTATTTGGAGGGAGGAGCGGAAGGAGGAGGAGGAGGAGGGAGAAAGGAAGGAATATCAAATACCCCCTCCAAGTATTTTTAAAGCTATATTCTGTGCCACTGTTTCTCACTTTTAAACTCTTCTTTTTGTTTGTATTATTTTAAGCCATGCAGAAAGTACGTTCTGGGTCACCTGGTTTGCTTACCAAATTGTCTGATATATTTAGAGATGTGAAAAATCCCAGAAAAGTGAGGTGGGGATATCATTTCCGGGTTGTTTCTGTTTGTTCGTTTTGTAATTTCCTAACGTTTTTGAGAAACCCTAGTGTAATGGGAGGGCACAGTGCTGGCAGGGGCCAGAATCAGGTCTGAAGTGTGGCCTCATTACTTTTCAGCTGAAGCCCAGGACAAGCTAGTTCACCTCTGAGATTTGTTTTCATGCTTATTCATTAAACAAAGGTTTCCTGAGCACCTTCTATGCACCAGACACTGTCTATGGCAGTAAACAAAATGCCCCTGCCCTTCTGAAATTCACCAGGAGTAAATCATGAGCTGTGTGAAGAGGGTCATAGAGGGGGTGGTGGTGATATGCAGAGTGGTTGTGGGGGGGCGGAGGGTATAGAGCCTGGGAGCAGAAAGGTCCAGCTTGGGAAAGTTAAAGCCTAAAGTCTGAGACACAGAAGTCCGTGTTAACCAAGTTGGCTGAGAGTCAAGCATTGCACGGATCATCACCTCCGCTAATTCTCACCACCCATTTCCAGATAAGGATGCTGAGAATCAGAGAGGGCAGGCCAGGTGGGAGCCTCAGCTCAGTCATAATTGTACAGGACCCAGAAACCTGCCTCTGGGTGTGAGCGTAAAGAGGAGGTGAGCAAAGACTGTGGTGCCAGCAGGGTCCTTTGAGGGTGAAAGAGAGGCCCGTGGGCCGGGGCTGAAGAGTGCTGGGAGCACGCATGAGGTGAGGGTGAAGGGCGGCACCCAAGGAGCCCTGGAGTCCGCCAAGGGTTGGGATTTTTAGCCCAGGGGCAGTAGTGAGCCACGAAGGCACATCTGGTAGGTTCATGACCCCTCTGCTCTGCCATTTATTCAATGTGCAAGTCAGTACAGTTCACTGGGCCTCAGTTTCCCCCATCTGCAAAATGGGAGTGATGATAAATGGCCCCAACTTCACAGGGCTTTTGTGCAAGGCTGTAGCCAGGGCCTGGCATATGTTAGCCATCAACACGGCAACTCGCTGGGCTGTTTCTTGAGAAACAAGAGAGTATAGTAGTTCTACACAGCGCTGGGTCCAGGCTGTCGGCGTTCCCATCCCTGTGACCTGGGGCAAGTCACTTGGTCTCTCCACACCTCATTTCCCCATATTAAAATGGGCCATGGGAGGGATTTAATGAATTAATACCTGCAAAGCCCTGAGGCCTGTGCCTGGCACAGGTAAATGCTCTGCAAGTGTCAACTGTGGTGATTGACCTTGATGGTGGCTTTCCTGTCTAGATGTCCATTTCTGCTCTTAATGTGAGCTCAGTCCTTTATGGAACTAGATGAGCCTCGTGGGAGTGAAAAATGAGTCCTGTCACCCAACGTCCCCTTTCTTCCTGCTGCCCTGGGCCACAGAATGGTAGCTTGGAGTTAGCATTTAGAAAGATTCATTCATTCATTCCATAATTAGTTTCTACATCTATTAGTTTCTTCACCTATGGAAAAACTTGAATGAATTTTTGGCCACCCTGGTATTTATTCCTGCCTCCACATCTCTTCCAGTCAAGCCTAAGTGCTATTCCTGGTGCCATGATGTGCCCACGGTCTGTCCTCTCCAGTCCTCACTTTCTACATCTGTAAAATGGGAATAACAACAGCAGCTACCACCAAGAAGTGATAGAAAAAGGCTGGCTGAATTCTACAGTACCTCTACCTCTCAAACATGTATTGACCATGTTTCACAATAAGAAACATGTTTACATTATGATGTAGCCCTGAACTTCCATTTCCTGGGGTGAGCTATGGCATTGCTCCAAGCCTCAGTTTCCCCATCTGTAAAATGGAGAAAATAACAGTCCCACCTTCATAAAACCCAAAGAAAAGATTAACAGAACTTTTTCTTACGGAAAGAGAGGCACTCTGATTTTTTCAATCGAATCTGTTTCATACTTTTTAAAATGTGGTTTTCAACTCACTGATTTCATGATGCACTTAATGGATAACATGTTTAGAGTCTGCAGAACACTGGGTTAGACCAGCCACACGGGTACATAAGCACCACCAGCATTCCTGCAGGCCTTCGGGCATTCATTTAAAAAATCCTTTCACTGAGTTCCCACCAGGCGCGAATTTCCTCCAGGGCTCCCCAGAGGGTCTCAGCCTGCTCTACTCACCTGGATACAGCGGCTCCTGATCACTCCTGAGTAGAACGGTCACTGTGGAGAAGGCAGAAGTGAGGGCAGGCAGGCTGGGGGCTGCCAGGGGCAGGGGAGGGTAGAGGGGCAGGGGTCTGTCCACTCTCACCAATGGCCCAGGACGCTGCCCCGATGCCTGTCAGGAGCAGGACGGTCCCCACAGTGAGAGCTGCCACCTTGGGTCCGGAGCAGCATGGCACAGTCCGGCCACCTGCAATAGACACGGTGCTGGGGCCACTTGCCAGGTCTGTCCTCACTGTGGCAAGGGACCAGCTCTGCCCTGCCCCCCAGGGCTAACTCAGCACGCCTGAGCCTGCCCTGCCCTGGGTCCAGTTTCTTGGGGCAAGCAGTTGGCAGGCCTGTCCTGCCCCTGCAGGGAGGATGACTAGGAGCCCAGCCCCCCAGGGCTTCCAGCTGGGAAGGGGTGTGGCTGGGACAGTTGCCACCCTCCCTGCCCACACTCCTGGCACTGAAGGGTCTTCTCCTTTCCAAAGACATTGCGCTTTGTATCTCCTTCTCAGACCTCTCACTTCTGCTAACTTTCCCAGAGGTTCCTGGAGCCTCTTGGGGGCTGTGACCCCTGACCTTTGCCCTCTTGGCAACTCTCTTCCCTGCTGTTTGGCATTTCCTCACTGCCTCATTTCTCTCTGCTGTTCCAGACCCTCTGTCCCTGGGAACCCTCAAAACCAGACCTCTCCCGAAGGACCCAGCTCCAATGTCAAATTGACCCCAGAGGTTGAGAACCTACATTTGGAAATTTGTCAGCCTCGCTTAAAAATATTGGCCTTGGGAATTCCCTGGCGGTCCAGTGGTTAGGACTTCATGCTTTCATGGCTGAGGGCACAGGGTTGATCCTTAGTCAGGGAACTAAGATCCCACAAACCACATGGCCCAGCCTTACCCACGGCTATATATGGGACCTTGGGCAGGTACTATCACCTTTTTGAGCCTCAACTTCCTCATCTATTTAATGGGCATCCACCTAGCACTCATCTCTAAAAGTAATACTTGAAGGTTCTTTCAAATAATTAAGAGCCGTACTCTTATCAGATGCCTTATGCACCAAGCACTGCTCTGAATGCATTAAATTATTCAGTCCTTGTCTCAGTTATGATTCCTATTTTTCAGACAGGGGAAACTGAGGCTCACAGAAGTGGAGCCACCTGCCCAAGGTGACTCAGCCAGGAAGAGGTAGTACTGATTTGGCACTGGGACCCAGGCCTATAACCACAAAGCCTTGCCACCCTCTCAGTGCTATGGTGGCTGGCGTAGAGCAAGTTCTCAATAAATGCTTTTTTTTTTTTTTCATTTTTATTGGTCAATAAATGTTTTAAAATCATTATAGCTATGTTATCTTGGACAACTCCCTTCACCTCTCTGGGCCTCAGTTTTCTTATCAGTAAAATGGGGGTTTATTCACTCGTGGTCCTATGGAGCATCCACCGTGTACCTGGGGATTCTAGGCTCTGGGGACACATCCCTAAATAAGGCAGCTGAGATGCTGGTTCTCACAGAGCTCACATTTTCATGTGTGTAAAGTGAGGGGGAAACCAAAACAAGCAAACAAGTAAATGAACTTGATCATGTTCAGAACGTGGCCAAGTCTATGAAGAAAATGATATGAATCGGGGGCAGCAGGTCTTCTGTGGGGTATTCAAGAAGGGCCTCCCCAAGAAGGGGCTTTTGAGCTGAGACCTGAGGGCTGAGGCCAGCCAAGCAAAGAGCTCTCACGGAAGGGCACAGTGGGCAGAGAAGAGTACAGGCCAGGTCCTCAAGGCCAGAACAAGCATGGTGGGTGAGAGGGCAAGAGAGGCCACTGATGTGGCCAGAACGGCATGAGCTTGCGGAAGGCAGTGGGGCCAAGACTGGGACCAGCTGGGGAGGCCTGGCAGCCTGAGGAGAAGAGGAAATTTATTCCCAGTGCAACAGGGACCCTGGGGCTGAAAAGCCAATCCTTTGGCTAGGGATGGGGGGACCAAAGAGAAAAGGCCACTGAAAGCCTTCACTGGGCCTGGCGTGCACCCGACTGCCCCTGGCATCTGCAGGACCTTCCAGTTCTGCCATCTGGGTCATGGCAGTATGGCTGATGGGCACGGGGCCAGGCCAGCACCCAGAAAGAAGCGGGGAGTGGTCCAGGACCTTCCTGCAATGGCTATTGTCTGAGTGTCTTAAGAATTTGAGAACCCAGCTATTCTTGTCCAGGTGCTCCTCCCTCCAAAGAGGCCCCAGCGGACCAGCCCAGCCCAGCCCCGGCTAGCTAACCCTTCCCTATCTCCCTGATGGGGCCTCTCAGGCCCCGTCCCCACCTTGCTGCTGCTGCTGCTTAGCCACTTCAGTCGTGTCCGACTCTGTGTGACCCTGTGGACGGCAGCCCTCCAGGCTCCTCTGTCCATGGGATTCTCCAGGCAAGGATACTGGAGTGGTTTGACATTCCTTTCTCCAGGGGATCTTCCCAACCCAGGGATTGAACCCAGGTCTCCTGCACTGCAAGCAGATTCTTGCCCACTAAGCCACCACGGAGGACCCCGTCCCCACTTTGGTCCCTAACCATATTCCTGGTTTCAGTGGGAGGTCCTGGCTCCCCAAGCTATCAGGCTGGTCCTGGGTTCTTTGTTTTCAGACAGGCCTGCGGAGCTTTGGGCCACTCAGAGCCCAGGCTAGAGGCACTGGCATGACTGTCGGGGCAGGAAGCACAGCCACCCTGTGTCGCTTAAGGTGAGAGGAGAAACTTGCTCCATGCCCTGTGATTCAGGAGTCTTTGGACAACCCCCAAACAGGTGCCTCTGGTGGGACAGGAAGCATCCTCACCCAAGTTCACCAGCATGAGAGGCATCCTGACTACATATCTTTGCCAAGGCAGGAAGTGTCCTCACTGCACGAGAGGCAGCATCCTGGTGTGATTCGTCAGGGCGATAGAGCCCGGCAAGCCCGGACCCCCGAGCGTCCTCCTGAGGCTCTGCTCTCTGTTCCTTCAGGGGTGCTAGGCTGCAGGGCAGTTCCTCTGCCTCCACCATTCGGCTGCAAAACCCTCCCAAGTGATGTCCTTAATTCCTTGTCTCTGAAACTCCACTCAGACGGCTCCGTGTCTGTCCTCGTGTACTCAACTCCAACTTCCCGAACAAAATTCTCTCCCCATCTGATTTCTGGGACACCACCCTTGTCCGATTTGCTTGCTACTTCTCGATCTCCTGACCCTCCACACGCTCTCTGAAATCTGGGGTTCACAGGGCGGCCCCGGCCTCCTTCCCCTCATGCCTCCCCACTCCACCCCCACAGACTGGGTTGCTTTTCTGTCCCCAGCTCTGGACTCTCCTTAGTCCTAGATTGAGAGTCCTGCAGCCTCTTAGATGCCTCCCCCTGGAATCGCCACACTCCATCACACCTCCCAGGTTCCATACTGGCCTCCACGTCTCCCTAAGCCCCCAGGTCCCGTCTCGGAGGTCTCATCCGCAGGTCTGTCCCTGTGTGCAGAGCACCCCCCTCTGCCCACGGCTCAGGCCTCCTGAGTGTCTCCTGCCCTCTCTCCTTCCCTGCCCCCACGCCCTCCAACCCCTGGGTTCAATCTCCCCTCTGGTCCAGCCTCCACATGGAAACCTGGGGAATCTTCCCAAACAGCAAACCCAACTTGTCCCTAGAAGCCTCCATGACTCCCCAGTGCCCCTCAGGACAGAGTCTAAGGCCCTCAGCCCAAGCTGCCAGGCCCTCTAGGATGTAAGCACAGTGATCAGAGATTTGGGGGTTGAACATGTTTTCCCCAATTCCCAGACAGCCATAACGGTCCTTACCAGACAACTGACAGAGCTTCCAAAAAGCAACCAAAATGACAGGACTTACAACACGACATAACATAACTTATAACATGACTTACAATGACAAGGTAAAAAAAAGAAAAGAAAGAAACGAAGAATAACCACCAGCGCCATCTTGTGGAGAGAGCCAGCACTGCCCGGGCATGGGCCAGCTTCTCACCGGAGTCCTAACAGAACTTGGTCCAGCCTGCATGTCTCATCACCCTCCCAGCTCCATTTCCAACTTTACCTCCAGAAATCCCGAATTATCTGCATGCCACCATACACCTGGCAGATTGTCACCCCCAGCTGTTAGCCTTGCTCTTCTGTCTGCCTGGCACAACTACTTACTCCTGCCTCATTCTGAGTGTCAACTCAGATATTACCTCCTCTGATTCGGAGTCCCCAGGGAGCACCAAGAACCTCACCTTGGGCGCACTTCACCAGCAGAATGGCAACACAAATGTTAGCATAACTGCAGCTCTCAGAAGACACACCAACCCTAGGCCTGTCCTAACCCCGTCCTGCCAGTGTGTGTGTCAGTGACAAGTTGCTTCAGTTGTGTCTGACTTTGTGACCCCGTGGACTGCAGTCTGCCAGTCTCCTCTGTCCATGGGATTCTCCAGGCAAGAATACTGGAGAGGGTTGCCATGCCCTCCTCCAGGGGATCTTCCCCACCCAGGGATCAAATCTGCGTCTCTGCTGTCTCCTGCATTGGCAGGTGTTACCACTAGCGCCACCTAGGGAGCCCAACCCCATCTTGCAGTTGCCTGAAATCCTTGAATGAAGGAACGTATCATTATCACCATCCCCGATGTACACATGAGGAAAGGAAGCCCAGAGAGGTTCAGCCACCCAGCCAGGTAACCCAGCAAGTAAGCCCAGGCTTGCCATGATGGTAGGACTCCCCTCCAAGACTAGGACTGAGCTGCCTGGAGATGTACTGAAGCCCACTGTGTCTTGGTTGTCTGTCCTGAGGCCAGTCCCTGGCCGTCCTTCTGGACACACTCCGCTTTTCTTCTCTGGTTCATTCACCCATAGGCTCCAGGCCTGGTGAGTCCCTTCAGTGGGCTCCAGGAAGGAAGGTTTCCAAAGGCGCAAGGCTCTGCCACGCACCTGCTCAACAAGGGAGCAGAGCCTTCTCCCAGGCCACTGGGAGCCTGGTGGCTCAGGTGGTGAAGAATCTACCCACAATGCAGGAAACCCACATTCAATCCCTGCATTGGAAAAATCCCCTGAAGAAGAGAATGACTATCCACTCCAGTATTCTTTCCTGGAAAATTCCATGGACAGAGGAGCCTGGTGGGCTACAGTCCCAGCGATTGGAAAGAGTCGGACACAAATAACACTCCACAGTTGGACGGTTTGGGCTCTGATTTTCTAGCTGTGCTGAGATGCAAGGAGGCCAGTGATCCATATCCATCATTTCAGCCAACACACTCAGTGCTTCCTGCATATCATGGCATTTAAATCCTCACACCATCCTATAAGATGGACATTAGTACTGCTTTTTTATTTTTATTTTTAGCAGAGGAAGAAATGAGGCCCAGAGAGGGTGAGCCACTTGCCCAGGGCCTAACAACTAGAAAGTGATACTGCCTGAGACCAAAACCAACTAGCCTGGTTCCAGGAAGAAGAGAGAAAGTCAGCCCCAGCTGGGGAGGGCAGGAAGAAAGAGCCACCCCTAACTGGTCTCCTCCAGCTGGCTCTCAAGTGTGGAGGAGGTTAAGAGGGAGCCAAGAGGTCTGGAGCCCCTGCCAGGGGCTTCCATAAGCCCTCGAGTGTCCGTCAAACCGGAGGCGTGGTTTCTCCCCACCATCCCTAGGGTGGTTTCTCTGTTGTTTCTCTTCTCTTCATCCATCCAGACTGGGTTCAAAGTCCTCCCTCTGCTCTGCCCACAGTGTGAGGAGGTGGAGGAACGTCTGGAATCGGTGGGGGTCTTGGGCCCCAGGTCTCCAAGTTGGCCGACCTCTGCCATGACAGCTCTGGGGCACCCCGCATCTGGGGCACCCCACGTGTTTTATGAACGAAGTCCCAGGCTGGTGCCTTGTGCGTGTTCTGTGCTCCCAACAACCTCATGTAGGTAGGTAGGTAGCATTAGAACCCACTCTTGACCCAGGGGGAAATGAAGCCCAGAGGAACGACGACACTCCCATCAGATCGCACAGTAAAATCAGTGGCAGAGGAAGATTCGGAGGCAGCCTGGTGGGGCTTCCCTGTTGGCTCAGTGGTAAAGGGTCCCCCTGTCAACGCAGGAGACTCAGGTTCCATGTGGGATCCAAGAGGATCCCACATACCTCAGAGCAACCAAGCCTGTGTACCAGAACCATGGAGCCTGTGCCCTAGAGTCCGGGAAGCGCGAGTAATGAGCCCATGTGCCCCAGCTACTGAAGCCTGAGTGCCCTAGAGCCCGTGCTCTGCAACAAGAGAAGCTGCCACAATGAGAAGCCCTCGCACCGCAACTAGAGAAAAGCATGCATGCAGCAACAAAGACCCAGCACAGTCAGAAATAAATACATGAATAAATAAAATTATATATACATATCTATTTTAAAGGCAGGCCTCTGCTTTCGATTCGAGAATATGTCCTGAACGATGATAGCTAGTTTTCCCACCTTGACCCCAAGTAAAGGACAGGTCCAGAGGTAGCTGAGAAATCACTGGGGGGTGAGGGGAAACTGAGGCAGGGAGCCAGGAAGGTCATATGGGGTGGCCGGGAGGCAGGTGGTGTTGCAGCCCCACAGAGAATTTGGTTAATAGTTAATTAGGTGGAGGAGGCTTCAGAAGGGGGTGGGGGTGGGCCCATGACGGGGTGCCTGAGAGAGGGGGCTCCAAGGGAGCGGAGGGCTGGGAAGACAGCACAGAGGGAGGGGAGGGGCGCCAGGCAGAGCTCAGGTCTCAGGGACAGGGGGACTCACCCTCCTTCTCCGCCATGTCACGGCCTCTAGTTAATGATTCCCCGGCTGACCTCTGGGGCCGGGGCGGGACCTGTGGGGAGATGAACAAGGGGGAGGCAGGGCCTGGGGGAGCCCAGCCCAGCCCCTGTGCCCCCAGTCCCAGGCGCCCATCCAGGGAGGCTGAGGGACTGGGTCCTGGCCAGAGCACGCCGTGATCACGGACACAGACTGGGCTGGGTTCAAGGATGGGGTCAGTGTGTGACCAGCAGCTAGGGGGATGATGGGATTTATAGCGCCGGGGGACCCTGGGCCTGGGCCGGGGTGGAGAGCGGACTGAGGGGTCTGAATTCCTGGGTCTGAGGGCGGAGAGCTGGAGGCCTCAACTCCTGGGTCCTGGGAAAAAAGAGGTTTGGGGACCAGGACTGCTTCTTATGAGGGAGGGGCGGCACAGGGGCCTGGACTCCTGGGTTGGAGGGAGGAGGAGCCCGGGACCCGATCTTGGGAGTCTGAAGAAGCGGGGGCTAGAACTCTGAGGTCCTTGGAGAGAAGTCCGACTGGCCCCTCTCAGAGCACCTCTGTTGGGAAGTGGGCATTAGGGTGGGTAGGGGTGAGGGGACCCATGTCCCGGGGACGGGAACCTGAGGACCCTGGTCCTTACCCTGGGGTCCGGCGGGTGGGGGCGGAGCTGAGAGATGGTGCCGGTTTAGGGTCAGTCTCCAGGCCTGGGCAGGAGCATGGTGGCCCCGCAGCGGCACAGCGGGCCCCGGAGGCAGAGGCAGCGGCAGCGCGAGGGGCCTGCTAGGCCTGGCTGCCTCACCTGAGGAGGAGGGGGCGGGGGAAGGGGCGGGGAGGGGCTGGGCCAAGGGATTGGCAGCGCTGGAGGCCACCTGGCTGGTGGGACAGGGTTTGCAAGGGGCTGGACCGGGGCGCCCAGCAACCTGCCTCCAGCCTGGATGGGCCCCAGGTGTGCTGGTGCGAGGGTATGTGCAGTTGGGACAGATCTGGCCTGAGGGCCCGGAGTCTGGGGAGACAGGCCAGGCTGGGGGGTGCTGACAGGGCCCCCAGGAAGGAGGTGTTAAATGGAGAGGCTCAGATGGAGGGCCCCAGCTGCCCCAAGGCCGCCCTGCCCCTGGTCTCCTCTGCCCCCTACCCAGCCCCCTGCCCACCGCTGCGCCTGCCATTTCCTCCACCCGTTGTCCAGCTCCTGAACAAGGCCTTCCCAGTTCCAGGCCGGGCCTCAGCCCAGCCCTGGCCCCAGACCCCTCCTGCACCCCAACTCCTGCCCCAGCCTCTGCCCCTTCATGTCCCCGCTCCCGATGCTGGCCCCCACCTCTATTCACCCTCCCCCCGCCCCTTCCCCCCCAGCTGCTTTCCTACAAGTCACGGGGGTTGGTTTGCTTTGGCAGCCTCTCTGCCGCCTGCAGCGATGACCTCTGGAGCTGGGAAGTCCCAGACAAGGGGGATGGGGACTTGGCCCGGAAAAGGCAGCATGGAATGCTGGGGCCCAGGCCAGGCGGCCGGAAGTGTCCACAGGCAGATACGCACTGTCCCGCCAGCAGCCCAGGAGTCATCGACGTCAGACCCCAGGGCCGGATAAACATCCAGACACATAGGGTCACTACCTGTGGACAGCCGCCACCCAGACTCAGTCAGGCCACAGCTGCTCACCCCAGACAGGCCGCCCCTACGCCATCAGACACAGCCGCTGGCCCCACGCACCCCTGCACCCAGAGCCACGGCCTCACCTGGGGGACCGGCTGGTGCAGGGCCCCCAGTGCCTCCTCCTCCCCCTCCATTCCTTCCCTGATCACCCCCCACCTCCGCACCAGTCTGCTTCCTCCCCTCCAGGCTGGCTCCCTCGAAACTCCTGGTCCCCACTGAACTAGTCACTCACTGAACCCCAACAGTAATCAAGTATCAAGTGGCTGCACACGTTGAGACCTCAAGCAGGTGTTGAGCCTGAGATGTGGCCCCCGTCTGTCCTTCTCCATCCTTCCCCGCCCCCCGCCCCCCCAGAACGCATGCACAGAGGCCCTGTCACCTGCCCAGGAGGGCAGGTCCCTGGAAACACCAGGGGGCTCTCTCGGATTTGGAGGGGGTGTAGAAGGTGACTGGGCTCACGAGAGAGACTGTGAATCAAGTCCAAGAATCTTTATTTCATGAACAAAACTACTTGTGTAAAGAGAGACGAGGCTGAATGGGCCCCTTTCTAAGTGGCCACAATCCAAGGCTGGTGAGAGAGGGTGGGTTGGGCTGGGGTGAGAGTGCGTTGCAGGGAGAGGAGACCCCAGGTCCAGCCGGAGGAAGCAGGAAGGGAAATGGCATCAGGGGTCAGAGGGAAGTGGGGGGGGTGTCCAGGAACCCCCTGCCCCGAACCGTTCCAGCCATCACAAGCCCCACTGGGCGGGGAGGGGGCAGGGAGGCGCTGGGCCCCCGTTAGTGCATGTCCGAAGCGGCCAGTGTGTGCAAATCAGCAAGAAGGAGGGGTGCGGAGCCGCTGCCCCCACCTCACCGCCCCCCCCCCAAAACAGGCAGCAGAAGCAGGGGTAGGGGCAGCGGCAGTATTGCTTTAGCCATCATGCATGGCGTGGGTGGGTGATGGGGCAGGAGGAAGAAGGCTGGATTAGGGGTGTGAGCCGAGCCCCCTGCCCCCTCCCACCCTGGAGGCTCCGTTGGCAGGACTCTGAGGCTTGTGGAGGCCAAGGAATGGCCAACCCCCATCGGGGGCAGGCCTCGCCTGGATGTTCCCCCGTTAGGACTGGCTCTTCCTTGAGGCGGAGCCCAGGGCCTGAAAGAGGAGAGACAGGGCATGAGGAGCCTAACGGCTGACAGCTGGCACCTCCCAGGCCCTCCAGCCCCTGCCCACCTTACCGGGGCTATTCGGCCACCTGGACACCAGTACAGTTCTCTTTGCTTTCTGAGGTGATGGCCAAGTATTCCGAGCTGTGGGGGCAAAAGCCAGGTGTCCAGTGACCCCATCGTCAGTCTGGCCCACTCCCCCCATGGAGACTGATGAGGGTTGAGGTCTCTGTCCCCAGGAGCACAGGGGTCAGAGAGAAGAGAAGGCTGCAGGCTGGATCCTAGGGATCCAAGAGGAGCCCAAGCTGGAGGTCTGGAGTCCTGAATGTGAGGGGGGAGGGGTTCTGGGGGCCTAGACTCCGGGGTCCTGGGGTGAAAGGGGTTGAGGGCCTGGAGTCTGAGTCTGAGGGAGCAGCGAGTGGGGGGCTCAGACTCCTGGGTCCTGGCAGATAAAAAGGGCTAGGGCCTGGAGTCGTGTATCTCTGGGGCAGAGGATGCCAGGCCTGAGCTCGGGATCCTAACAGAAGTGGGGATTAAGAGTCTGAGCAGGGAGGGGAGGGGACCCAATCGCAGCCTCATCCCATCTCTGGCACCAAACGGTCCCCTCTGGGGAGGACCTGGCAGACGGTGTCTGGGTCACTTCCCCACCCGCCTCCCCACTCAGCCCATGCTCCCCTCCGGGAAGCACTAGGCGTCCTGGGCCGTTTGCCCCTCCTCAGGACCCCACTCACGCATTCTCTTGTGCGGCAGCCTCCGTGGCAGCGGCGATCTTCTTGTAGCAGTAAACCATCTCTGCCACGAGCCAGATGGTCAACACCACGATGAGCACGTACATCATGATCTCGGACACGATGGACGCCATGTCTCTGTTGGCTGCAGGGGGCCAGGCAGGGTCAGGTGGCAGCCTGAGTGTATCCTGAGTTTGTTGTGCAAGCCTGGGCAAGTGGCTTGACCTCCCTGGGCCTTGTCTGCAAGTGAGGCCATGCTCTCCCCCTAGAGGCATCATTGTTCCTGTGGTTCTTAATAATTGGCCTTGGAAGGGCTGTCGGATTGCCCTTAACCTGTCTCCCTGTGTAACTCGAGGGCGCCTCCATGTCATACAGGTGATTGTAGGTGCCCCAGAGCTGAAGTTCTGAAATGAGAAGGCTCAGGTTCAAATCCTGGCTCTGCCACTGGCCAGCTGTGTGAACTTGGGCAAGTGACTCAGCCTCTCTGGGTCTGAATTTCCCCACCTGTAAAAAGTTGATAATCACAGTATCTCCTTCATGGGAGTGTTGTGAGAATTAAATAAACCTTTAAAACCCTTAGAATAGTGCTTGCTATATAGAGAGCACTCGATACATGTTTACTATTATTAATGTCATCACTGTTATTATTGGGGCGATACAGCACAGTAGTTAATAGCAGAGCTCTGGGGCCAGACTGTCAGGGTCCAAATCTTATCTCTGCCTCTGCTGTGTGACCACAGGCAAGTGACTCCACCTCTCTGGGCCTCTATTCCCCTGCCGTAAAATAAGGATGATATATATTCATGCCTTCTCACAGGGTTGCTGGGAAGAGAAAACGAGTTAACATCTGTAACACGCGTGGATGCGCCCACAGTCAGCACTGCCTAAGCGCTGGCTATTCACTGATGTTTTCCGGAAGCCCTCTCTCCTTTCCACAGCCCTGGCTCTTGCCAATGTCAGCTTCCTTTCATGGAGCCTAAATTTAAACTGTAAAAGGGGCATGCTCAGCCGGGGGACCAGAACGCAAGCCCACAGTGACATCCTCGGCCGGATTCCGCAGGTGTCCGCCCCGCATCCCCAGCCCCTCCTCCTGGATGGCTGGGACCTCGTTTTCCCCGCTGTTCCCACATGGTCTTCCTCCCCTAGGTGTGAGCTCAGTTGCTTAGTCATGTCCGACTCTTTGCAACCCTATGAACTGTAGCTCGCCAGGCTCCTCTGTCCATGGGATTTTCCAGGCAAGAACACTGAAGCAGGTTGCCATTTCCTCCTCCCCTGGGAGTGGGCGCTTTCTGCTGCTCCACCTGAGGCAGATGGTACCAAGGCTTTCTGGGCCACAGGGAGGGGGGTGCGGGGCCTGATGCCTCTCCCCTTCTTCCCGGCAGGAGGAGCTGGGGACCGTACTCCACACCTCACCCGTTTGTTCACTTGTTCTTTCACTCCAGAGATACCCTGAATGCGTCTCCTGCGGTGAAAGCACGCTCTCGCCTGGGCTCTCTCCTGAGTTTTTTATGTGAGCATCTCCCGGATTCTGAAACAACCCCAAGGATACAGAGTCCAGGCTTCCCATGTCAGCTGACCTCCAGAAGCACAGAGTTGAATACATGTTGGATAAAGCTCAGTGGTAAAGAATCTGCCTCCCAGTGCAGGAGACGCAAGAGATGTGGGTTCAATCCCTGGGTTGGGAAGATTCCCTGGAGCAGGAAATGGCAACCCACTCTAGTATCCTTGTCTGGGAAATTCCATGGACAGAAGAGCCTGGTGGTTGGGCTACAGTCCATGGGGTCACAAAGAGTCAGACATGACTTGAACACACACACAAGCAAGCATGAATAAAACTCAGTCATCAGAATTCTCACCCCTGCTCCTGGAACTCACCAACCAAACGGATTTAAGTAAACTGGTATCCTGCTCTCCCAATCAGAGTAGGACATTGACAGGCACGGCTCTCAGGCCATCTGCACGACAAGTTTACTGAGGACTTCCCTGGTGGCTTAGATGGTAAAGAATCTGCCTGCAATGCGGAGACTTGGGCTCAATCCCTGGGTCGGAAGATCCCCTGTGAATGGCCTGTGAATGGCTACCCACTCCAGTATTCTTGTCTGGAGAATTTCACAAACAGGGGAGCATAGCGGGCTACAGTCCATGGTGTCTCAGTCAGACACGACTGAGCAACTTTCATTTCACTTCAGAGAGGAGAAAGTGCCAGGCAAGGATGCACAGCCAGGACTGCACTCAGAGCCCGGAGTCAACTCCAAGTGCGACTGACTGCAGGGTCCGAGCTCTTATCTACTCCTAAAAACTCCTGCAGCCAAAGAGAGACTTGGAAATGGCCGTGGTATGTCCAGGGCAATCTCCATCAACCCACAGACGTCTCAGGAGGTGGGGCTGTTGTCCCCCCTTGCTTCACAGAGGAGAAACTGAGACAGAGCGGTCACAGCCGGGAGCAGAGGCAGTTCCTCTGAGGGGGCCTTTGATTTCTTCAAAGCTTCACCTGCCTGCCTCCAGGGGCAGATCTGAAGCCCCAGCCTGCCCAAAGGCCACCCAGGAAACTTCCTACCCCCTGACCCTTCATCTGAACACAGATTTGGGAGACAGGACTGACCCAGACTTTGTGAAGCCACAGTATTTGGGGGTGTCTTTTTCACAACTCCTCCACCGTCGCCCAACTCACCAGGGTAGGGCTCCATCATCAACGTCTGTGGGTGGCCACCCACCCAGCATTGTGACCTACATCATAGAGGCGCTCAGACATGTCTCCTGAATTGAATTCTGCTAGATCACTTTGCTAATACACGTAAAAATGCTAATTACCAACAGGAACCCACAGGCTCTGGCTGACAGCAGAGTATAGTGAATCATGCCAAGAATAAAAACAAAAATCACACAGGTTTGGCTGGGTTCAAATCCAGGTCGCAGTTCTGTGACCTTGGCCTTATAATCTTACCTCCCTGAGCCTCGGTTTCCCCATCTGCAAAATGGGGATAAGAAGAGCCTCTACGCCAGAAGGTGGGTTGTTTTTTCGTTGCTAAGTTATGTCTGACTCTTTGCGACCCTGTGGACTGTGGCCTGTCAGGCTCCTCTGTCCGTGGATTTCCCAGGCAAGAATATTGGAGTGGGTTGCCATTTCCTTCTCCAGGGGATCTTCCTGACCCAGGGATCGAACCTGCACCTCCTGCATCGGCAGGCAGATTCTTTACCGTCTGAGCCACCAGATGGTGGGTGGGAGTATTCAGTGAGGGACTTCATACAGGACAACAAGGCCAGCCCCCGTCTTGGGGAAGGGGGGCACCAGTGCACGTCACCCGTGATGGTGCACGTGTGCTGACGGCCCCTCGGGACTCACCTGCCAAGCCCAAGGTCTGGGATATCTCCCTGACTCTCTAGGCCAATGGTCCCTGAGGCCCTGGAGAATTCCAATTTACACCCAATCAGAAGATGGTTCAGGGAAGGAGTCCAAAGCAGTTGAAGCCGAAATGATGAAAAATGGTTCAAAACACACCTTAGATCTTTGCTGCTCAGCGTGGCCCCAGACCTGCAGCCTTGGCCTCATCTGAGACAGAATCCTGGGCCCAACACGGATCTGTTGAGTCAAGATCCAAACAACAGCACGACCGCATATGGTAGAATTTGAGGAGCCCCGCCACAGGTGACACCGCTGATTTCCTGCCCCAGGTGATACAGGGGGGCAGGACTAAGGCTGTTGACAATCAGAAGCACCACGGCCACAGCCCCTGTGTGCCGAGGCCCTGCTATGACAGACACACCAGCCTCAGACACCCAGCATCTCACTCCATCCTCACCACCTCCCCACGATATCAGAATGGCTCCAACGACACAGAGAGAGAGAGACACTATCATCACCCTGTTTCCTACAGGACGATACTTGGGCTCAGAGAGAGGAAGGCACCCGCCAGGGTTCACAGCACAGGAGGCAGAGCTCAGCTCTGCACTCAGCACTTCCGTGGGACAGGCCCGCCATGACCTCTCCGTGGCTGAAGGGAAGCGGGGGCAGGAGCTGGAGTCCAGGCAGGAGGTGTTGCCTCCACCCCCTGCTGCCCAGGCGCTGAGCCAGCCAGCGCATTGCCCCCCCCCCCCGCTCCTGCCATCTGGTCCCTCCATCTGGCTGCCCGGGGGCCTGCCTCACCTTTGTCCACCACCTCAAGGTGGATCTTTTTGACGACGCTGGTGTTGTGCTCGTAGTTGTCGAAGAAGAGCAGGCGGTACACGTGGCACTCATAGTCGCCCGAGTGGTTGTAGGTGACGTTGGTGATGAAGATGGACAGGTCCTGCAGGTCCTTAGTGCCCCGGCTGCCGTTCCACACCACGCGGCCCTCAAAGCGTTCATCCTCTTCCAGTTGCAGCACCTCGTTCTCATAGCGCAGGATCTGGAGGCAGTGGGCGTGGGGTCACCGCCAGTCACCCCCGCCCCGCCAAGACCTCTATTCTGTCCCTTGCCCTGACACACACACGCCGCTGCACACGTTCCCTGGCCATCCTCCGGAGCCCCCATTCAGCCTTCCTGGTCTTCATTCTCTACCATCCTGCCCGGCCTCCAGACACACTCCCCAGGCAGGGTAAGAGACAGCCCGATTCCGGCTGCTGTAGACTCCAATTCTCCGGCAGGCCCTCAAAAAGTTTATGGAACCCCCTCCTATGCAATTCAAAACACACAGAGGGCGAAAAGGAGGTCAGAAAGTTCTGTTTCCTTCCACGATAACCATCTGAGGCATTTTTTGCTGGTACGAAATAATTCTGATGACGTATATTTTGTGACAACCGTGTGCCAGGTGCAGGAACTCAATCCTTACACCAACCTCAGAGCTGGAGACTACCCGCTCCCCCTTCTTTACAGAGGAGGCAATGAAGTTTCAGAGAGGTTCAACGGCTTGCCCAAGGTCACCAGCCGGTCCTGGTGGAGCTGGCCTGTGGATCCACGTCATCAGAAATGGCACCTGGGTGCAGACAAACTCGCAACCCCAACCGGAACCCTGCTCCCCGTCACTAGCTCCCACATAGATGCCCACCCTCCTGTGCCAGGAGCCCACCCACCTTGACAAACTCCTCTGTGCCCTTCTGGCGGAAAGTCCACTCGGTGAAGGTCTCGGCGGTGGTCTCGCTGCGGCGCTTGCAGGAGATGCACAGGATTTTGAAGGTCATCCCGTACACGGCCTCGGTCTCCGAGTCCACCTCCACACAGCCCCCCCAGGCTGAGGACACTGCAGGGACAGTGGGCTCAGGTCGAGCCGGGGCACCCATCACCCTTGGCAATGCCAGGCTCACTGGCTGACAGCTTTCAGGCCCCTTGGAAGCCATCTGGTGCCCCTTGATTACAATCAGGAATGGCCAGAACCAGGCTTGGAGCTTGGCCCTGCCACCAGCTATGTGCCCTTGGCGAGTCCCTCATCCTCTCTGATTGCCCCTGTGAATAGTGAGGGAAACGATCGTCTTTCTTCTGGAGGTGGCTGGGCAGGTTTCAAAGTAGATAAGGCTGCAGGGGACCTGATACAGTGTGTGTGTGCTCAGTCATCTCCGACTCTTTGCAACCCCATGGACTGTAGCCCACCAGGCTCCTCTATCCATGGAATTCTCCAGGCAAAAATACTGGAGTGGGTAGCCATGCCTTCCTCCAGGGGCTCTTCCTGACCCAGGGATCGAACCAGGGTCTCCCGCATTGCAGGTGGATTCTATACTGTCTGAGCCCATGGTACACTGAATGCCCCCAATCAACAGGGCTGTTACTGTGGTCAGTAACTTAGAGTCTGTGCTACCCAGGTACCCCTTTCTCAGGAGGCCACTTGTCCAAGGTACTGCAGTGTCCAGGTGGTGGGACCAGAATTCCAGTGGCGTTAGAAATTCAAGGTGGCAGTGTCAGTTCTACCAGAATTGATTGCTCTCTAAAACAAACCAGCCCCAAATGGGTTGGGAGAAGCCAAGGCCTCAGAGAAGGAGGTGGGCACGGGATCCAGTGCAGAAAACCACTCCAGCCCTGCTCCCCAGTCCCACAAGTTCCCGCCGTCCACCCCCTCCTATCTTCTCCTGCCTCAGTCACCCCTGCTCCCAGGCTCCTCACTTCCTGAAGCCAATCCCACCCCCATCAACTTCTCAAAACTCTCTGAGCTCTTTCCCGCCACAGGGCCTTCGCATCCCCAGCAGATTCCAGTCCCTTTGAGTCCCTCATCCTCATTCTTACCTGCCTCCTCCTTCCTGCTCACTAGCTCGTGCTGTCTTTCCAGGTCAGAGGCTTTTGCTTTGACCCCCATTCTTCCCCCTATTAATCGGGGTTTTCTGCCCTCCTCCTCTGCTCTTTCCATCTCCCTGAGCACCTCAGTCTTTGTCGCCCCCTCTTTATCTCTCAGGGGTCTCTCCGAAGGCCCCACTTCGTGTCCTTATCTCAGGCTCAAACATCCTCTCCTGGCTTCTCCATCTCTCCCTGCACTTTTCCCTGTCCTTTTAAAATTCCATCTCTCCCTGTGTCTACCTGTGTCTCTGTCTCTTCCTGTCTCGCTCGAGTTTTTCTCTCTCCACCGCTCAGATCCCTAACTCTCTGGCATACTCTGCACCCCTCTCTCTGTCTCCCGCCTCAGTTTCCAGCTCCCCAGTCTCCCAGCGGAGCACTCAGGAGAACTTCTGTGTCTCTCGCCGCTCCTTCCCTTCCGTTTCTATCTCTCCTGTCTCTCCTCTCTCTCTCTCGGTCCCAATCTCCGGGCGCCGCCTCCCCCCTCCCACCTCCCGCGGCTGTAGGTGTCACATTGCAGCCTGCGGGGCTCTCCGGGAGCAGCTGACTCCGCGTTTCCTCGCCCCCGGCTGGGCGCCCGCAGCCGCCGAGCCATGCCAGCCCGGCCCTCGCCCGCTCGCGCCCACCCGCACCTCTGCGCCCTCCCGAGCCCCGCTCCCCGCGCGCACAACTTCTGAAGCGGACTTAGCCGGGCCGGGGGATGGGCTGGGGACGGCCCTCGCCCGCGGCCCGGAGTCCCGAGCGCGAATCCCGCCGCCCGGCCAGTGTGCCGGCGGTGCCCCCGCCGCGCGCGCCCCCCGCGCACTCACCCAGTGCGGCGCCGACCACGAAGGCCAGCAGCGTCCCCATGGCTGCGCTGCGCACGCTGCGCCCCCCTCCCGGGCCGCCGGTATTAATAGCGGGGCGAGAGGCGGCGGGACCCGGCGGCGGTTAGAATGTCCCCGGGAGCGCGCGGGCGCAGCAGCTGCGGCTCTGGGACCGGCGAGGGGGGAGGGGGGGCGCGGCCCCCCCGCTCCGGTTACCGCCGGGGGCCCAGCCCCGGGGCCCGGCGTCCGGGCATCCCCGCCGCGCGGGCGGCGGCCGCTGCTCGGGCTGCTGCGTTGGCGCGCGCAGCCGGCCACATCCGCCAGGTGCGCGGACCCCGGCCCGGCTCCGGCTCGGACGCGCTAGGGCGCGGGCCGCGGTCTCCTGCGCACTGCAGCGACGGCGGCGGCGGCGGCCACGGCAGGGAGGAGGGAGAGGGAGGGGGCGGGATGAATCACCGCGGGGGGAGGGCGCGGCTGCCCAGCCTTTGCCGCAGCGGCCCGGGAGGCGCCCGCCGCGCCGGCCTTTCCCGGTGGTGGCGCAGGGACCGCGGCTTCGGGCGTGGGGCGCGTGGTCTGGGCGTCGGACCCCTCCAGACTCCGGGGACGCCCAGGTGCGGAGTCGGGGAAAGGTGACCCCCCCCCCCGCCCCTTCAGAGTCACAGGAGGGCTTGGAGGGCGGTTTGAGCGCAGGACTCCGGACTTTAAATTATGGAGGTCACCCCCCTGGAATCTCCAGGGGAACCTGCCAGGAACCTCCTGGTGACCTCCCCCTCGGACCCCGGGCACTCGGGCCTGGAGGTCACTGTGTTGGAACCCAAGTGGGCTTGGGGGGTGTCAGGCTAGGGCTACCCATAATACTCCAGACCCCTCCCGAGCAGGAGGGACACTCTGGATCCAAACCATAGAGGCTGCTCTGCTCTGGGTACTAGAGGCGCCACGTTTCTAGAAGAGGACCCTTCGTGACCCCGCTACCCTGTCTGTCTCTGTCTCTGACGTCATCTTCCACGCCTCCCCTTGCCCCCCCCCCCCCCACCCCCGCACTCGCTGCCGTCCAGGCCGTGCTGTTTCCAACACACCAAGCTCATTCCCACCTCGCAGCCTTGGTCCTTCCTCACCTCTGCTTGGACCACTCTTGCCCTAGGTGACCCCAGGGCGGACTTCCTCTTCTCCTGCAGCCCTTGGCTCTGACATCACCTTCATCAGGCCCTCTGTCCACTCAGGATAAACTGCCTCCACCGTCCCTTACTTGACCTCCTTTACCAGTTTTTTTTTTCTCACGGCAGTTGTCACTACCTAACATTATACTCTTCTTTATATGGTTCCTCCATTCACCTCTTGTCCTTCCAACCCTGGAAAACAAGCTCCTCCAAGGTGAGAACACTGTCCTGTGCACCACTGCGTCGTCTCCAGCACCTTCATCTGTGCCTGGCACCTTGTAGTGTTGTGTTAGTCGCCCAGTCGTGTCCGACTCTTTGTGACTCCATGGACTGTAGTCCGCCAGGCCCCTCTGTCCATGGGATTTCCCAGGCAAGAATACTGGAGTGGTTTGCCATTCCCTTCTCCAGGGGATCTTCCCAACCCAGGGCTCGAACCCGGGTCTCTTGCACTGCAGGAAGATTCTTTACCATCTGAGCCACCAGGGAAGCCCTTTGTCACCTTGCAGGTGCTCAATAAATATTTGTCAAGTGAATAAATAACTACCAGTGCTAGAGCCCTGCTATATGCTGGGTCCACTTCTACCTCCACAAGCATGTATGTAGCAAGTTCTGTTATTAATCTGCATTTTACGAACTGGGAAACTGAGTATGGGAGAGGGCCATTCTCTTGCCTAGGGTCACGCAGCCGGCCTCAGATGGGTCTGGAATCCTGCCCAAGTGGCAGGTAACTTGTCTGCTAAATGAAAAGGATGAGGGTAGGGGCTCGTTTGGGACCACAGTGGGGGCTTTTGGCTGATGGTTGCTCTTCAGGTCCTGACCTCCAGTTCTAGATAGGGTGAAGTTCCAGAAGCTCCCCAGCCCAACTTTGCCAGGCAAGAGGAATCACGGGTGGGGCTGGCCCGGGGCAGAAGGAGAGGAAGCCAGGGACACCACGTGAGGGACACCAGACACCTTTGTGGTCTGGGCCCTTGTGCCAGCACTTCCTGGGCTGTGAAATTCCCCTGCAAAAAATAACTCTCTTGCTGTTCCGGTCCCTCCTGTCAGGGGTGGCAGGTAGAGGCACAGTGAGGACAGGTCTTAGGCACCACACAGGGGCACCTGCAAACTGGTGTTCGCTGAGCACCTACTATGGCCTTGGTGCCATTCTAAGCACCTTACTATTAACTCATTTAGTTCTTCCTACAAGATGGGTGTTACCATTATGCCCATTTTACAGGTGTGGGAAACTGAGGCACAGGATGGTTAATTTGCCTCAATCGCTAGCTAGAGGATAGGAGAGGCTGGCTCCGTCGTTTACCACTTGTGGTCCATCCTGCCCCATCCAGCCCCTCCTTCAGTTCTCTGCCCCAAACCATCAATTAAGATTCTTACAGCCTGTGACCTGTCAGAGGTCTCTTTTTACCCTTCCTCATTCACTCTGTAACCAGAACAGGATTTGAGTGAGACAGTTCTGGGTTCTACCTGGACCAGAGGTTTTGCCTCTAGGCTCATTTCTGAATTGGTAAGATAAGGTCCAGCGGCCTCAACTTCTGGTGTGACCCCCTGAAGGGGGCCTTTTATCTGAAGGTGGAGACACCAGGGGCTAGGCCTTGCCTCTCTGCTGACTGGTGCCAGGCATGTAACTATTTGTCTCCATCTCATGGTGTAACTGAGAATTAAATGAACGTTTGGGTTTGCTGGTGACTCAGACGGCAATGCACGAGATGGGGGTTTGATCCCTGGGTCAGGAAGATCCCCTGGAAATGGAAATGGCAACCTACTCCAGTATTCTTGCCTGGGAAATCCAATGGAAGAGGAGCCTGGTGGGCTACACCCCGGGGTTGCAGAGTCAGACACAACTGAGCGACTAATACTTCAGACCTTGGCACAGAGCCTGGTACATACTTGGTCCTCACTATATGACTTACTTTTTTTCTCCCCTGATTTTTCTCTTCCATAATAGTAACCTTTATTGAATATTTACTCTGTGCAGACCCTGTTTCAAGTAGCCACCTTTATTAATTCCTTGAATCCTTATAGAGTGGTTCTGAAAGTGAGGTCCCTGGACAATCATCATGAGCCTCACCTGGGAACTTGTTGGCAGTGCAAGACCTCGGCAGACTCATGGCAGGTGGGCTGAGTCTCAAACTGAGGGTGGGGTCTGGCATTCTGCTTTTTAGGAGTCCTCCAGGAGATTCTGATGCAGCTAAAGTTCAAGAAAACTCACTTCTAACAATCCTGAAAGACCGGTGCTATTCTTTGTTTTTCTTGGCCACTCTGTGAGGCATGCAGAATCTTCGTTCCCTGACCTGGGCTCAAACCTGCACCCTCTGCAGTGGAAGCACGGAGTCTTAGCCACTGGACCACCAGGCAAGTCTCTGACTGGTGCTATTCTTATGCTCACTGCAGAGGAAACTGAAGTTCAGAGAGGTTGAACTGCTTCAGGTGACATGCCCGCTAAGTATCAGAGGCAGGATAGAGCCAGGCCACCAGTCTGTCCTTGGAGCCCCCACGCTGGATCCTGATGGTGCAGAGCTGCTTGGGAATTTCAGGTCACGTCGGTGTCTGTGGCCCCAGAAAATGGATTGTACGCCCCTCCTGCCACAGCGGGACCTAAAGTGTAACAGGAGGCTCTCACCACTCCCAGGGCCCCTACAAGGACAATCACAGTCATTTCCAACCTTTTATTGGGGCTCGGTCAGCCCCAAATAAATATAATACAGTAAACCCAGAGCTGAGGGAATCGTGCACCCCAGGAGGGACCCCCACAACCCCAGACGGTCACAATAAGTTAGTGGGGGGCCTGCCAAAGACCGGGCCAGCTCCCGGCAGGGCAGGTGATGGCAGCTGGACTTGCACACGCTGGTCTAAAGTGCATCTCGGTTCTGTGGTCCCCGTGTCTGTGTGGCCCCGGGCCAGGCCACCGAGAGGAGTGGGCGGGAGGCTCCCGGTGCTCACACTGTGCCAGCAGTGGCCACCGAGCCTCTGTGTCTATCTGTCCATTTAGGAGGATGGCCGTGTGTCCTCAGGAGAAGCTGTCGTCAGGCTGTGGCTGGGAGTCGAAGGGAGGGTCTGAGACGGTGATGCCTTGATGTAGCTTCTCCAGTGAGAACTTCATCTGCAGGGAGAGGTGGGCAGGGTTGGGGGGTGAGTGCTCGTGGAGGTGACACACCCCCACCATCCTGCAGCTGAGGACCTGGGCAAGGTCCAGAGAGGCCAAGGTCAGCCTGTCCTGAGAGAGGAGCCTTTCCGCACCCAGTCTAACTTCTCACAGGCAGAGGACGAGATGGTTGGATGGTATCACTGACTCAATGGACATGAGTTTGAGCAAACTCCGGGAGATAATGAAGGACAGGGAAGCCTGGTGTGCCGCAGTCCATGGGGTCACAAAGAGTCGGACAAGACTGAGCGATGGAACAACAAACAACAACAAAGGCAGCAAGTGGGAGCGGCCCAGACGGTCTGGGTTCAAGTCATTTTATGGGGTAACCTTGGGCAAGCCCCTTAACTGTCCTGGGTCCCTCAGCTGAGACACTAGTCAGTAATATTCCTGCATCGTAGGATTACTTCAGGGATCTCCCGGGTATACGCCTAGACCTGGCACACAGGGTGTTGGGCACAGTTAGCTAGTCTTACTCCCTGCCATATGACCTTGGAAATGTCTCTGCCTCAATGTTCCTGTCTGTTACATGACAGGGGGTGGGAGGGGTGGAGTGGTAACAAAAGCATCCCCCTAGAAGGCTGGCCATGAGAAACAAATCAGTTGGTCATTTTAGCTCTTAGAACCGTCTGGCTCAATCAGTATCTGCTGTTAAGAGTTAATTTTTGTAGTTGATTCCGTGCCCTTGGCAGAGAAACATAATCAGAACTGAACTCGATAGGAAAGCCCTGACCTGCTGTCTCTGAGCAATGGCACCCCAGCCTCAATGATCCCTCGTCCCTGTCCTGCACAGCCCTTCCCCTTCCTCCTAGCATGATTTCAGGGTGCAATGAGGCCCCTAAAGGTAGACCTTGGCATTACGGTTCAGAGTGACCAGAAAGGACTTTTAGCATCACCCAGCAACGTGGGCTATGATGCCCTTGGGCAGCCAGTCAAGGCCAGATGCTCCCCAACGCCTGGGACCTGTGCTGACCCACCACCGCATTTACTGAGCACCTGCTTTGCAGGATCCCACTAATAACAGCAAACACAGGTGAGGTGTTTATGTGAGCTGGGCACTACTCACAGGCTAACTCCTTTCTAGTTAATACTATTTTCTGGCCACGCTCCACAGCATATGGGGCTTTAGTTCCCTGACCAGGGATCGAACCCACAGCCCCTGCAGTGGAGGCTTGGAGTCCTAACCAATGGACCGTCAGGGAAGTCCCAGATGCTAACTCCTTCAATCCTCCTGGCAGCCTTTGGAGTAACACTGATTATCATTCCATTCACAGAGGAGGAAGCCAAGGCCCCAGCAATGAAGTCACTGGCACAAGGTCAGAATTTGAACCTGGCTG